CGTCCTTTGGACCACCATTTAGTTTTACAATTCTGAGTATTTGACTTTGCCGAAAAGTACTAAAAAACAGTTTTTGGGTCTGGATAGAGTCGAAATGTGAAAATATTCCGCGTGTGACCGTACTGGTATTTTAGTTGTCTTCCTGCAATAAGAACGGATTAACCATGTCACCGAGATGTGTGAAATGTTAGGTGGAGGCTCACAATGTGTGGTCCGATTGTGTGAGTTTGGGTTGGTAGCTAGGCTCCGATGTACGTAAATACCAGATCCCTGGAATAAGCATCACGTCACCAGTTCTACTGAGCCCTGTAGTATTGATTTTTGAGGTCTTGTTGACAGAAAGCTTATGATGTGAGCACAGTCAAAGATCTTTTTTTTCCTCTGAGCCCTAAAGTGTTGATTTTTGAGGTCTTGTTGAGAAAAAGCTTGTGATATGAACATAGACAAAGATCTGTTTTTCTACTGAGCCCTGTAGTACTGATTTTTTGAGGTCTTGTTGAGAGAAAGCCTGTGATGTGAACACAGTCAAAGATCTTTTTTCCTACTGAGCATATAGTGATACATCTCTATTTCTACAGACCAATCAGCATCACATTTTTGATCAGGTCAACACACAGGTTACCGTTACTTTCCAGGAAATTACCCTATACACATTCAAATAGATGGGACAACATAAAAGCCGGAGATTTGAAGAAACAATCCTTGACAGCATGGATATGATTCTAAGTGACGTGGCTTGCAGGCGAGTGCTTTCCGCCATGACTAGTTGAATTTTTCATCGCTTTCACCGACTGTAAACTTCGGTGGAAAGTTCTGGTTCTTCATCCATCTCTAGACTTCAGTCTTGTTCAGAACTTGAGTGTTGCGTGCACATCTGTTCTTCAGATCCGACTTTGTATACAGACTCTTGGTTCCTTGCCTCTCGGGCAGATGCACTCCGACTTAGATGTAAACATCACCCCCCCCCCCCCCATTAGTTTACTCTTACGACATGCTGGCTGGGGAGGCAGTGAGTCTATTTTTGTTTTCCCCATAATGGGTCCCAGGACCCACATACAGGGAACTAGCTGAAGGGAGTAATCAAGGTTGACTAAACAATGAAAGTGTAATGGGTTTTGGTGCAGAAATTGTTGAAATAGAAACTACAACCCATTTCACTTTCATTGTTTAGTCAACCTTGATTACTCCATTCTGCACAGTCGTTACAAGACAGGCGCTATATTGGACACATTCTGAGATCAACAGAGAATCACTAAACAGGCAGTGAAATGGGAAATAGAGAGAACGAGGAGATGAGGACGTCCAAGAGAAACCCTGAGGTGAATGTTGATGAGAGAGGCCAAAGATGCCAGACAGGATTCCACCCATGCTATCGAAGTGATTGCACGAGACAGAACAAAATGGAAAAATAGATTGAGCCCTATGTAACATACAAAAGCACAACAGGACAATAAATGAAAGTCTTAAAAAAAGCCTATTTCAAGCAATTAGTTTTGAGTCTTTTGAACAGATAAAGCAAGGAGTAAGACATGGATCTGTCTTATCCCCAGACCTTTTCTCTCTATATAGTGAAATAATTTTGAGGAAAATTAAAGAATGCAGGAGTAAGAGTTGGAGGATACAATATAAACAATTTGCGTTATGCAGACGACAGTTTTGATAGCTGAAAATGCAACTGATTTACAACAGCTGCTGGATATTGTGGGGATGGAGAGTACTAAGAAAATACTTTTATTGAATATTAAGAAAACGGAAGTTATGCTCATTTCAAAGAAGAAGATAATTCCACCTTGTGATATCTCAACTGAAGGAAAAAGACTTAACCAAGTTAATAAATTTAAATATCTGGGAACAATCTTATCATCACATGGAAAATGTGTGACAGAGATTAAAAGCAGACTAGGTCAAGCGAAAGCTGCATTTCAGAAAATGAAAAATATCTTATGCAATAAATCACTCTCATTTAATGTCAGAAAGAGGGTGTTAAAATGTTACATAGAACCTGTTCTGCTGTATGGCAGCGAATCTTGGAATGTCAGTGAACAAATTAGGAAGAATTTGGAAGCAACAGAGATGTGGTTTCTGAGACGAATGTTACAAATACCTTGGACGGCCAGAGTAACTAACAACTGCTTGAGAGGCTAATCAAAGTAAATCTCTTTATACAACAATGAGATAGAGACAAACACTGTTCTTTGGCCACATAATTAGAAGAGAGACATTGGAGAACATGGTGACAACTGGAAAGATCAGTGGAAAAGGGGGTAGAGGCAGACCAAGAGAGATGATGCTGGATAGGCTAAAACGATGGTATGGAGGGACATCATCAAGAGAGCTGTTCCAGTCAACCAGGGATCTTGATCTGTGGAGACGCATGAGCACCTACGACAGTTGGCAGGGCACATGATGATGTCTGGAAAAAAAAGTTACCATAATATGACATGACAGAGAAACCAAACTAATTAATTCATTATTTAACTAGCAAGTAAATACAGTTTGTTGCAAATTATGTGAAAACAAAAAATTATGTAAAAATAGAAAATAACATGAAACCATTAAATTATGTGAAAATGTAATCCTAACATTGAAGAGAAACAGAACAAATTACATATTGCATAATATATTAAATACAGATAAGTAAACACCTGCATATATACATATAAACATGTACTTTAATCAACATTTATTACATACATAACTTCTAAACTACTTATAATTCAAAATTGAACAATAATTGTAAGCGGCTTCAAATGAAACCCTTAAAAGATAGAAATTGGAATTACCATGCCACTGTCTTGTAACCTGTTCAATTTAGCTCTTAAGGATGTCAAAACTGTTAAGCATGTGACATCATGGTGCAGACCAACATGGTGACATCATAGTGACAGTTTCAAGATGGCCGTCCCACTTTTGACACGCACCAAAGAGGAGCAGGGTTCTGTTATCCAATTTTTTTGGGGAGTTATCAGTGAAGGGGTGAAACCTAAAGAAATTCACGGCGAATGAAGGTCCAATATGGTGTTGCATGCCTGTTACTCCAACAAGGGTCCAAGTGGAGTAGGATGTTTCAAAATGGCGTAGCTTTTGTGATAGTCTAATCACAACCGGGTCAAGCACACTAAGTAGTGACCTGTCTATTACAGCAGTTGAATGCCTTCTACAGGAAAACTCCCGATTGACAGTCAGTGACAATGAAACACATCTTGACATCACTCAGAGTTCATCACACCACATCATCCATGATGTGCTACAGTACTTCAGAGTGTCCGTAAAGATAACAGAGAGCTGCCACCTCCTATTTTAATTTTACAACTCTGTTCCCAGCACGTATCTGAGTGTTGGAAGATATACATCAATGTCCATTCTCATGCAAACATCAGCATGTCCAATTTGTATTCTGCCTGAGAGGCAAGGAACCATCAGTGTGAATGCATCACCCAGGTTGTGGAACAGGACTGGAGTCCAGAAGTGGAAAAACAACCAAAACTGTTTATCAGAGTTAGCAGCCAGTGAACGTGAAGAAGAAGAAGGTTGAAGTAATAATGATGACAATAAAAACATAGGTATACTGCATCCACAGGGTCTGAATACACAGTGCACTGTAGTTGACTTGTGTTGTTGGATTGATTTAGTTTGCCTGACTAAACCTAAGATGTACAAATATACAAAACAAGTTGCCAGGTATGCCTGGCTTATGATGGCTGACCCTGATGCTAAACTTGTGTGAAAACTTCTAGAAGCTCATTCACCTATTTGTCTTCGTCAGTGTTTGCTCCTAAAAGGGTGGCTGGCACACTGTGTTGTGGTTTTTAGCCAGGCTTCAATATCAGCACCTTTTAGCCCTAAACTCTGATCTCAGTAAACTCCTAGTCACCTTTTAGGACATGCTTGTTTGGTGGCAGTGGGTCTATTATTGTTTCCTCAAAAATGGGGCTCCAGAATCCACAAGAGACGATTCCAAATATAACTCTGACCAAGTGAAGTACAATGACAACTCTTGAGTTTGAAGCAGTTAGGGTTCTGCTCAATGACTGCAAGTGAAAGGAGAAAAAAAAAGAGGAGTAAGAGAAGAGAAGAAGAGCAGGAACAAGAACACAAGATGAACCATAAATACTGTAAAAGTAGATTTTTCAATATCACATAAACACACTTTCTGTTTGTTCCAAAAGTTGTGGCCTAAAACTTAAATAAATACGGATCAACACACACTTTTTCTTGTGGTCTTAGATTTCCCATGTCCTTATGATTTGCTGATGTACAATTGCACTAGTACTGTTGTTTTCTTACAGCGGTGAATTCATTTAATTTGTGTAGCCATTTAAAAAAAAAAATAATAATAAAACAATACAATAAGTGACAAAAATTGTATATTTTTCAGGAGCCAATCAACAAGTATTAACACTTTCCTGACCAGCAATCCGGGTCATTACTGTCTCCCATTACCACATTTATTTCTACATTACCTCTTTAATCAAGACTATAATCACTGTAGCTACTTTCAGTTGCAATATGGCGACAACATTCAAGGTGAATCTACTTATCCAGGAATTATCATTTTCAGCGCTAAATTGGGTGGCAGATTCCAATTCATCAATATATAGTCTGGTTTTTGTCATCAGACATGACAAAAAAAGCTGAATATGTGCCGGTAATGAAATCAAAATTGTACTTAAAACAACGCTTGTATCGGCTCAAAGCGATCGTAGGCGCAGCCATTTTGGAATAATAAAAACACCTGGATGATGTTCATTAAAAAAATATCTGTAGGGACATCTACATGTCGCAAATTTGCAGATCAGCAAATTTGGTCACCAAGGAATTTAACCGGAAATTGGCAGATCTGAGAAGTTGGTCAGCAAAGTGTTAAGGCAGTACATAATGTTTCTACTTCATTATTCAATATATGTGGACCTTAGTTTCTCCCACAGATTCTCCAAAATGAGTGCAGTTTGAGAGGAAGACAGGGTAAAAAATATGTTTGCAATATCACATTAGTGGACTTAAACAACTGTCATAAATACTGTCATCCCGTCAGCTTTCACCTGCCCTTGATCCTTCCATGTGTTGTTCCAGATCCCTTCCAACAGCTGAGAATCGCCTATTTTGAGGCCTCGACAAGTAAACACAAACTTCTTCAACGGAACTGAACTGGACATTTTATTTCTCAAGGCATCTAGAAGTTCTGACTCCAGGGGAGAGGTGACCGAACAGCCACGAGCTGTGATTTCCCTAAGGGAGCTGTCTTTGTCTGCGGAAAGATACAGCAGCTTCTGAAGGCTCTTGTTGTTGACACTCTGATTCTGTGAGAGAACCAAGCACCGCAGGGACTTGATCAGCACTGGAAGTCTGGAGAAAACAGAACATCATGAGAGCTCATTAAATTTACTCTTTCGGGGAACAGAGAATCATGAAAGCTACTTCAGTTATTTGAGTCCCAAACAATGTCATTAACACAATTAACACACCATATGTGTACTAGAGCAGTGTTTCCCAAACTGTTCTTAGTCACAGCACCTTTTTTCACTTAAAATTTTCTATGGTGCCTTTTTTTAAAAATCAAATAACAATTTTTCACGGCGCCCTAACCTAAGTAAAAGTATGACTATTCGTATGCAAGAGATTTTTTCCCCTTCAAATTGTGTATTTTCGAATATTTCGCGGCGCCTCCGTGAAGAGGTTGCGGATCCTAATTAACATGTCACAAAAATATGAACTGGCTTTTCCTGACAGGGGAAACTTTGAAAAAACATATTTAATTTTTAAAGATAATTTCTTTCAAGATATGTGTCTTAATTTTTCGCCCCCAGTAAAGCTTTAAACACAATATTTAATGGGTCATGGCCCAGTGAATTAATCTTTAAAAACACAGGTCACTAATAGATTTGTCAACAATTTCATTATGTTCACTTTTTGTGTGTTTAGAAACAGATAGAAGTAAAGAAGTTAAAAAAAAAACAACAAAGAAGTAATCGACAAACATGGAACACAGTGATGCATTAAATAGAATACATTTCCTAGGGTCTAAAAAATGATGTATCGGGTGACTCGTTTAGTGATCTCTATCAATGAGGCTTACAGGCAAATTTCACATCAACTTGATTTTACAACAACGACTTCTGCCAATGAAGAAAAAAACATACCAATGCTATTTTTAGTTAATATATTCAAATCCTGACCTCATAAATGTCTGCAAAGGCATGAACACGGGTAATGGCATTAATTATTATTCTCGTAAACAAGTCACTATTGACAAATCAGAAAAGTGATTTAATAACTTAAGTAAATCAAAGGACCCTTTTCCACGCCTTTAGGCCATCTAGGGCTAGACCTATATTTTATAGACCAATCGGCACAAGATGGGTGATGTGGTCAGCATCACGCCAGCCACCTTTACTTCTCGGGACTGCACCAGGTACCCACTCAAGGCTGGGTCGACCTGGGAGCCAAGGTCATTTTTTGGAACGAACGAACTTTATTTTCAAAGGGTTACACATTGGGCACGCAGGCCCGTCTGACATTCGGCCCTTCTAAGCACTCGTTTTTCAGAGTACCAATGCCTGTTATCTAAAATGCATGTTATAGATATAGAATAAAAATATACATTATAGAATATAATACATACATCATGTGTACACAATCTTACACACACACACACACACACACATATATATATATATATATATATATATATATATATATATATATATATATATATATATATGCTCTCACATTCTCATACATGCACACTCATATACAGACATACCTAACACATACATATATACACAAATAGAAAAGACACACACATACATATATGGACATATATGCACATACACATACAATCACATGTACAGACACCCACAACCACACATTTACACTCACATGTAAACATACATACACACATATACATACACATATCAATACATACACCTACATCTTTACACACATACATGCATACATACCTAAATACACACACATACACCCATATACTTATACATCTACAAATGCATACACACATCCACAAACATGCATACATACACACACCCACATACATGCCGACACACATTACATACATACCTACACATGCATGCATACACACATATACAATCACCCATACAGATACTCACATACATACATACTCATGCATACATACAAGCGAACAAGAGGGGTTAATATGTCCAATATGTTCTAGTAATTCTGACATAAAAACCGGACCTCAGTGACACTCTGCTAATATCAATGTGCAACCTGTTACAAAGATTAAATTTTTAGTCACCTGTTTATGAAGGTTACATCTGCTGGTGACAAGTGGTTGCCTGCTATAAACAGTTCCTGCAGACAGCAAACTCCCCCACTGACAAAGTTCTGGAGGTATGGGAAAATCTCCTGACCGGACAGACTGCAAGTGTGAGACACATTCAGCTGACTCAGATACGCAGGTTCTAGGCCAAGCAACAGATCTTTAATTCCTTCTGGTCCAAGATTGTTCTCAGAAATGTTCAGATGTTCTATTCTTCTCACTTAGAATGACCAAACAAACAAAAACAAATTTAGTACAACTGGTAGGTGTTACACTTGAAAGAAAACGGGGGAAAAAATGTAAATTTTCCAGCGTGGGTACAGATGTCCACGATTTTTAGTTTAAATCAGAAAAAGTTTTCCCCAATGTTGAATGTTGATGCTGAATTAAGAATCGACATCACAGCACTCGGGACACTCCTATAAGTGCTCCGTCCCCATCTTCAGCAGCAAGAAAGGAGTTAAAATTCCGATGGTACCAGTAACTGTCTGATTGAATATCCATCTCGCCTTTCCCTTGAGTGTCGAGCATTGGCCAGATCCCCTTGTAACTCCTCACAGTGCCATTCTCCTAAGACCATGATAATCTATCTGATCCTTAACACTGTTTACTAGCTCTCAAAGGGTCCTTACAAGATCCAGATTGTGTTTTCCCCATCAGCTGCTGAATGCAAGAAACAACCACTGTGAAATGTCATCACATCCAAACAACCTCATTACAGAATAAAAGTGGCAAGTATGGAAGGGAGATTATCTTTAACATTTAATTCCCTTTCCTTTAATTACGTCAAGGAAGTGTGTGTGTGTGTGTGTGTGTGTGTGTGCGCGCATGTGTAAAAGACAGAGAGGTAGAGAGAGAACAAAAGAACGAACCAGCTTTATTTTTAAAGGGTTACAGATTGGACAGGCAGGCCCATTTTTACATTTGGTCCTTTCAAATAGCTTTCTTTCACAATCCTCAATGTATTTTAATCAACAAAACATGTTTTATTCATTTAATCACAGCCCACAGCGATGGCAAGTGTGGCTAGCATGTATTAACTCTTTGAGTCCCGGGGGTTTAGCATCCACAGGTCCAAGGGATAGTCAAAAAAGATGTAGAATCAGCGCATCTTGTGTTCATTGGGCTTCTAGGTAGGAAACTATGAACGTATGACTCGTTCCTTGGGACTCAAAGAGTTAAGAAAAAATTTTTTTTACAATAAATGCACAAGATTTCAAGACCATAATTGCCATCATTTGTATATGACAAGTTTCTTCTCAGACTCTATGAATAAAGCCTTTTTTTTTTGCGGACATCTCCTGCTATTTTTAGTAAATTTAGTCATTCCCTGTCTTGCTGAACGTTTGCATGGACACAGATGCAATAAATTCTGTTAAGTGGACATTTCATAAGCTTGTCTTTATAGCGACTTGGGAAAGTTACTTTTACAGGAAAATGACACCAACAGGAAATGTCAGTTTATTGGCTTGTCGGAGCAACAGGGTTACAAATGTGTGCTGGCAACTATCTGAATTAACAAATTAGCAAGATCTGAAATATTAAATTATGCTAAAAGAATGTCAAGCAGCCTTACCTTTCAGTGCTTCACCCAAAGAAGAGTCGAAGAGCTTGCGTGAGAAATTACATGAACATAAACTGAGCTGGCTCAGATTTGGCAGGCTTTTAACTACACAAGCTAGAGCTTCTGCAGCAATGTCATCTAGACAGTTGTGACTCAAGCTGAGAGAAGAGAGATGTTGCAAGCAGGGATCAGTCTTTAGTGCGGCTGCCATAGTCTGGACCCCATCTGCAGAAATTCCATTAGTTTCCAAGGACAAGATTTTCAGATGTGGCAAACTCGGTAAAAGCTTCATCAAGGATTCAACCCCAGCATCACCGAGCCTGTTGCCATTGACTCTGAGGTCTGTCAGGACCTTGTGGTCCTCCAGTGCTTGGAAGACTGGCTGAAGGAAGGATAACCCTAACCCCAAGTCGCTCAGGTGAAGCTGCCCTGACTGGTCGGCTTTCTGCAAGGATGAAACAATATTTGAGTTGGCGTTAGTTAAGCACAACTTGCAGGCCTGTGTATATCTATCTTCCAGCCGGGGTCTCTCCCAGGCGCTGACATTTGCCGTCAGGACATCACTATCCTGTAGAATCATGCTGATAGTGTCTGCTGGACACTAGAATGATTCCATCCTGGGTGCTAAGAGTGAGTGTCGGCAACATCAAGAACATGCTGAAGTATCGTTCTTTAACCTGCTGAAACAACCACGAGATGTTCTTATCCTGATCTGCAGGCTGGATGGGTATCAGCAGTGTCTGCTGCCCAATTCTCACCTTGACCCGAATGCTGTTAATATATGTAGGCTTCTCAAATTTTTCTGTAATGGAGTCTTGACCGCATCCTGTAGCAACATTTCTGTTATCAGAACCATTCGGAACCTGCACTGAACCATTCAGAATCTGCATGGCTTCCTTAAAGCCATTTCTATAATTGTCATCAAATTGAGTAGATGGTTTGCTTTGAAAATATCCTGCAGTGGCTAAACGACCATCTTTAGGTTGTAATATGTGGCCCAATGGTATTTCTTTGCTTGTTCTCGGAGACGATGTAACTACAGGACTGCTGGACATGCTATCATTGTGCGACGAGGGAATCTCTGTGACGGACTGATTTCCAGTATCATAAACAGTGTCAATCTGGCACAGCAAGTCATCATCAGAGCCCCACTCAAACTCAGACTCTCGACTACTGCCGGGTTGGTTCAGCTCATCCACATGAGGAACCATCTCTGTAGTAGAGGACACAGCACAGAAACTGTCATGTTTTCCCCGACCCCCAGTTCTGCTTACATCAGACCTGGTATCATCAAAACTAGCTCTTGCTCTTTGTCTGTCTCCATCTGATGCAGGATACTTCAGCCTTTTACTTGCTTGATCTGACTTGTTTGTAAGCAGATCTTTTCTGAACCTCTTCTTAGCTGTGCTTCGTGAAAAGTCTGTTGTCAAAACACTGGTAACGGCAGAGCTTTTTCTCTTAGCTTGCGGCCACTGAATGTCGTTCACTAACCAGTCATCTGCAACATCCTCTTCTGCATTAACAAGAGAAGGCAGCTGTTGTCCGCCAGTAGCATCAGCATCGTTGCTGGCATCTGAATTCAGTTCTCCTTCAGCTCTGTGGGCAGAACTTCTTCCAACAGAGTTGATGGCCAGACGATAGACTTCATTGCCTGGCAAGTCTAGGTTACTAACAGACGACAGGAGCTGTGAGCTTCGATAAACATCTGCCGGCTCCTCATCTGAAGAACTGAGGCATTCTTGTACTTCCGACATCTTGTGCACTGTACGGCTTGAAGTCCTGCCCTCTCTCCTGTAAAATGCCATAAAAGTAATGGAAATCATTAAACAATATAACCAATATCTGTCTATAGAATCAACTTTGTTTCCTGGTCAACATAAACGAATTTATAAGACAATGAGAACAGCAACTTGGTTATTGGTTAAAATGCTGGGTTCTCATAAGAGATCTGGGATTCGTTTCTCTCTGTGGTGATGCTGTTTTCTCTTGGGCAAGAATGAAATTTCCAGCTATTGGTGTCTCACTCGACTCATCAACTGGGCAAGGGAGCTATACAGTCCCCATACGCAGGACATTTTCATGTTCTTAAAGTTCACGCCGTGTGGCGTTGGTAGTCATGTATATCCACAACCTTCTGTCTTGTGTACTTTCAATCAACTCTAACACAGATGATTCTCTCGCACTGAAAATAATGGAAACTATATTAATCTGTTTCAGCTCCCCAAAACTCGAATTTTCACGTTTTTTCCTTAAATATAATACACTGTTAATATTAACACATAGGGTAAAAAAAAAAGGTAAAGTCAGGAGATGTGAACCAGCGTCATTGCACATGGTTATAAAACCACAAGTGCTCTGCCAGCAGTTCGGATAGCAGACAAGAATTGTCCGCCTGTGTCGCCGTTCGCACGTAACCCTGTAGCTACAGCGACGTTCCTCCATTTACCCCAGAGTGTCAACTCTGGTACCGATTTCCTAGAGGCTGGGTGAACCGATTTCGAACACCGACAAGCAAAGCCTCTTATCGACTGCGCTAACGCGGCCCTTAACATGAGGATCCTATTTTAATACAAACACACACAAAATAATAAAACAAAAAATATAAAATCACTGTATTTACTGTACCTTGATAGAAATTGTGACACATCACATAGAAGTAGAAAGAGGGATTTAGGGAGAATACTGTTTGGAAGGTGAGTCAACCTTCCGTGATAACATCGGGAGTCCTTTCTGGTGTTTTCGTTTCGTTCACCACATGTAGAGGGGGTCACTAGTTTTTGTTGACACCCAGCATTCTAAAGTGCTCTGGTGTTGGAGACCATTTGAAATTGTTCTAAAATTTTTGAAAATGTTTTCACTGAACAAGTTAAAAACACCAGTTAACTAGGACCCTCTCACACTGACATCTCTCAACATCTCTCTGAGGTATCATTATCAACCCAAACAATGCTACTGCCAAATCAATCAACCAGGTGTTATCTCCACAATGATGGCTGGTTGCAAAGTATGTTGAACACACTCTGTTTCTCTGCTCTCTCAAGCTTATGTTCATGCATCTCGTATGTCATGCTCCCACTTGTATCGCTGTGTCTCCTGTCTTCAACTTCCTCCAGCATGTTTTTTTAAATAACTGTATGTCTTTTAATATGGCAGAAATATTCCACTTGTCTATTTGTTATTTTCATCAGCAACTTTTTCACTCCTGGTCTCTTGAGAATCTCTGTAACTGACTGCTTCTGTTTCCAAGAGATGTCACCTATTCTTCAGTATATCCACATATACAAATGACACCTTTTAAAACTGCTACTGTAAACTTTCCCATATTAGTTTCTTCTCCTTCCTCATTTATCCAAAGATGACACTGTGTTGTGCCTGTTTACACCTTAGCTGTGATATCTGAACCTCAACACCTGATTTCTTCATTTGTTGTCCAGGTAAGCCTGTTTGTACATCCACAGTTACAAATCTAATTAACTTGTTAATAGTACTTGGAGTTTTATTTGTGTCTTTAATTTTGTTTTGTTTTTAATTACATTTTTAAGAGAGTGAGAGAGAAAGAATGAGTGTGTGTGTGTATCTGTGTGTGTGTGTGTGTCTGTCTGCATGCATGCTTGTGTGTGGAGAGAGGGGAGGGGATGTCTTGTCATATATTCAAGGCAGGGCATCACCTGAAAATGTTTGAAAACCACTGACAAACCATTTCACCTACTCCCTAGGCCTTTAGTATGATCCCACACCAAGCATTTATCTGGCTGGAAGATCACAGTAAAAGTTAAACATTTATGAATTAATAATTGTATCATAAAATACAAATCTCATAAAAAATTACACATACTTTTCTCTGAGTTTCCGGAGTCTTTCATTTATGGCACCTTTCTGCTGCTTATACTCTTTTCTCTTAGAACCTGTTTTGACATCACTGCTTAAAAAATCTGGCAGCAAGGAAGTATCCACATTTGTTGGGGAATCTACTGAAGTAGAGGAATTTCCTTTTTGTGCTGATAATCTACACGAAGGTCGTGTCCTGCTTGTGCCAGGTTCGTTTGAAGGATTGTAGTCGATACCTTATTTAAATCATAAAGAAAGTATTTTGTGTGTTTGTGGGTGTCAGTATGCATGAATGTAGATACAGACACACACGCATGCACAAACCCTAAACACACACAAGCATATTGTGCACATACATAAAAACACAGCACATTCCATACACATCAATATCTCAATCTCAAAATCAGATATATATGATATGTTTAACCAACAGTCTTACAATTTTAAACAAATAATATGTAAATATCACTGTAATCCCAAATCATGCGCCGTGGCGCCCCGGGGAGCCGCGACCTTTTCACAGGGGTGAAACAAAATACTGTAAAAGCTTCATAATTAATTTAACTAAGACACGAATAGTCATACTTTTACTTAGGTTAGGGGTTAAGTCGTAGTAGCAAAATTTTAATTGAAAAGGCGCCGCGACCACGAAAAGTTTAGGAAACACTGCTATAGTAGATAATGTCATCAGAGTTTGGAGCAGAAGGCTTTCACATATTCTGAGCCATAGCATTTGTGGAGGGTCGGCCAGCTCCTTCCGCAGAGCTGTTCATTCCTAGACAATTCTTAAAACTCTCTCTCTCTTACAATGTGTACTTCAGCTTTAACCATTTCTGCTGGGATTTCTCCTAGACTCTCAGCATTCCCATCCTTCAGCGATTAATAGCTTTTCTTATTTCGTCTTAACATAGTTTCAAACAGTTCATATCCAGTGCCAATTCTACAGAATGGGTAAAATGAGGGTCCTTTAGAACTAGTTTATTCAGAAGTTCTTCAAATATTTGGTTTATCTGTTTCACAAGAGCTGCTGGTGACAACTTTTCCAGTACTTTTTTAATATGCCCATCTGGTTCTTTCTTTACATTAGCCTATTTTTCTTTTGATTCTGTGAAGTTCTCTGAAGTTTCTTTCCACTGCTGCCACTTCTAACCCCTTGAAATGCCATCTGAATTCTGTGTTTTATCTACAACATAAGATCTTTATTAGCTGTTTATTAATACTAAATGTGTGTAAATCCCTTACTTTCTAGACACTGAAAGCAGGAACTGCTATAAAACTGCCATTACTGGTTTATACAACTGAGAGCGGCACAGAGGTGTCTTTAGTATGGAAGTTATTACCATCAGGATTAGCCATTCCAATGAAATAGTTTGTAAGTCTCCCGAGAATAATCTTATCTGCTTAATGAGTTCTATCTTCCCTAAGGGCCTTAACGTCCAATATGCTTTTATTTATTTATTTTAAATAAATAAATATGCTTTTATTTATTTAAAAAAAAAAAAACTATTGAATTACAACTTGTCATTCATGACTGATAATGGGAAGCTGACTACGTTCTACTTCTTCTCTGGGTTTATTTCTTTTTATAGTAATTCAATAAGGCCTGAAGCAAAACCTTGGAGCCACTGACTCCTTATTAAAGATTCAATTGAAGATTCCTACCTGCCACATTTAGCAGCATCTTCTCAACCTTCTTATATTCTACTTCATCAGCAAGTTCAAGGACATCTCCAGTTCTGCTGTACCAAGAACGGAGGCTGTCCAATGCTGTGTTTCCCTGTAAGTGGTATTGTTTTGATATTAAAATGTGCATATCTCAAACACTGCAACAATTATTAGATGAAATTCCATACACTCAACTATGGCCATTTTTTAAATGAAGATAAAATAAATCTAAATCACTGCAACTTTTTAAAGACGTGCTCAGGCACAAACTTTGCAAATTTTTCTTAAAAATTAGTTTACCAACTGTTGGGGTGCAAGGCAAACGGCCTAACTACTTCACCATGGAGTAGAATCAAAACATGGAAGGGAATGGGGCCTCACTATGTAATATTCCTAAGGACAGCCATGAGCATACGGTAGCCAACATTTTATTAACTGCGCTGGGTTTCAAGACCACACATCACAGCACTCGGGACATTGCCGTAACCCACCTTCTCCATCTTAGCAGAAAGCAAAGAGTTCCATCTCTACTGGCACCAGCAGCAGATTGAATGTACATCCCTCTTGCCTTTCCTTTGAGTGTTGAGTGTTAGCCAGATCCCCTGGCCACTCTCTGTTGTACCATTCTCTTCAGACCGTGATCATCTTCTTTTTCTTCTTCATGTTCACTGGCTGTAAACTCCGGCAGAAATTTCTGGTTGTTCATCCACTTCTCGACTCTAGCCCTGTTCCAGAAACTGAGTGTTGCATGTATATCCATTTTACACGTCTGACTCATCTAAAGCAGATTGCTGGTTCCTTGACTCTCAGGCAGATGTACTCCGACTTCGAAGGAAACTCCCAATTAGTCGACTCTTTCAACAGGCTTTTTCGGCAGGCAGTAGGTCTATTCTTGTTTTCTCCCACAACTGCGCCCTGGAACCCACATGGGGATTTCAGACCGTAATGACCTAACTGTGCCTCCATTATTCACTCACTCAAATAGGACCTTGACAACGTCCAGCTTGTCATGCATCAGTTTACCAACAAGTGGTGCAGAACCAGCCAGTCTGTCTGCCTGTTTATTTTCCAACACCTCTGCATAACTTAGGAGCCTTCACTGTGGCACACACTAAAAAAATATAGTACACTCTTACCATCACATTACAGGCTCTTTGAAGAATATCGCCATTTTCACGACCCACAAGAACAGCCCCCAACCCCCAAAGGAAAATAGGTCACACCTACATCATCATCTCTTGCCATGACTTGGGCTCCCTTCTCTACCAGCAGTTTAACTACATCCAGGTGGCCACAATTGGCAGCATCAATCAAAGGAGTTACTCCGCCACATCGTTCACCACCTCGGTCATTGATCCAAGCTCCCGCCTCCAACAGGTACTCAACAACGCTCACATGACCATGGTTGCAGGCTTCGTGTAAAGGCAGCCAACCACAGAAATCTCTTGGGTTCACTGGATGACCCTGATGACAGAATAACATATACATTTTGTTTTTTGTTTTCTGTGAAATTAAATATTTTGTTTAAGTGTAACAATTTGAGATAATTTCAAAAGGGGTGAAGAAATAAGAGAAATGTCTGGACAACAGCTTAAATCAACAGTTATAAGACAGAATATCAACATTTGTAAGACAGAGAAGATCAACAGTTATAAGACAGAGAAGATCAACAGTTATAAGACAGAGAAGATCAACAGTTATAAAACAGATAAGATCAACAGTTATAAAAAGAGAAGATCAACAGATATAAGACAGAAAAGATCAACAGTTATAAGACAGAGAAAATGGCTCTATACTGAAGAGATAAACAGAGAATCCCCAAGCAGGCACTGAAATGGGAAACTGAGGAGACAAGGATGCCTAAAGTGAGTGTTGAAGAGAAGCTAAAGGTGATGGACTGGACTCAATCTTTAAATCAAAGGGACTGCACAGGACAGAATAGAAGGGAGAAAAAGACTGTGAGCTCTAGGTAAGACATTATAGCATAATAAGACAATGAATGAAAATGGGTGTAATGGGGGATATTTTCACCCAGCTTAGGATGGTTGGGGGGAAGGCCCAAAGCTGACCTAAAACACAGAGATAGTCCAGATACTTGGATTAAACGAGAATCTGGAGATAGGTGACTAACCACTGGTTATCACGGGGACCACGATGATGCGACCCAAGGTCGCCACGTGAAAAGTAAAGGACCACCATGTGTTGTCACGTGAAACGAACCCGTGGTATAAGTCAGACTTGACTCTGGTCAAGTTTAGTTTGTGTCGACCTGTTGGAGTGAGAGGACGTGCGACTGAAAGTGAGAATGTCTACGTGAGTGCCTGTGGAGAAAGGAGACCATGCCGACGAAGTGTGAAGCCGAGATCGACCATGCCAGTGTGTGAGATGCCCAGAACCTCAACGTGAATCCATGGGAGCCAACTTTGGTCAGTGAATGCTTGAAGAAGACTGTTCGTTGAAGGCTGCGTGAGTTTGGGTACGAGAGCTGTTCACTAGGACACCGACCGGACATTCTAGTTTGTAAGTGTAAATACGTCAATAAATTCATGTCTCGTAAGTTCACATCGGTGTCGGCTTGTGCCAGTTGTGTAACGTGGAGCATGTGAGAAGATCATCCACCACACACGCATGAACACTGCCTAGACAACGAGAAGAAACACACACCACTTATTACAATGGACATACAGCTCCAATTAAAATTTAGCTGCTCCTACTACTAATATGTCACTTCAAATGTACACTGAACATTATATGGCAGCCGGTAGCATGGCGACTAGTTGCTCACCTGCCCAACTAAAGGTCTTGAGTTCCAATCCACATTAAGTCCAATTTTTTTTCCTTTTCCTTTTTAAACTGCCCTTGGCTCCCATTTTAACCTTGTCCAAAACAAGTAAAAGCAGCCAGCATGATGCAGATCAAATCACCCACAGAGTGCTGACTGGTCTTTAAAAAAATATAGCTCTAGGACCATATACCAATAGGCTTAGGAAGTGGTAAAATGTCTTTTAATTTTTGGGAGAAAACCCCAACTTAATAGAAAAACTAAAATTTTTATTATAAATCTTTTTATCCTATGTTGCGGTAATTAGCTAGCTAACTGACATTTTGTTAAAAAACTGGTCTGAATTCTAGCCTGTTTTTTTCTTTTCTTTCCCAAGCCAAACATAAAAATAAACACTTTAAATAGAGCAGACTAATTCGAGCACACATCATCTTTGAGATGTTTAAACAGGAAAGAATTTACCTCTGCAACAAGAGATTTCACTTTCTTCAAGTTTCCGTCAATGCAGGCACGATGCAGAGCAGTTTCACCTTTCTCATTCCTCTGAAAGTGAAGGGTATTACTGTAGCTCATAGAAAACATTCACGCATTTACCAGACAGACAGTATATGGAGCACTTCACAGGCAAAGTAATTATATTATCTTGACTTTATGATCACAAATTATTTCCGCACTGTGTTACTTATTCCTGTGTCCCATAGCCGCAAAAGTGACACTTCCAGTAGGATCCAATTCCCTGTAAAAGCCACTTAAACAACTTGTCTCTTCTCCATGTGTTTTTTGGCCTTCCTTTATTCCTATGCCCCTGTGCGTTCCAATGCAAAGACATTCTAGTTATGCTGTTCTCCTGTTTTCTCAGTGTGTGACCTATCCAACGCCAGTGTCTTTTCCTTACCTCTTGGTCCACTGGAGCCTGTTTAGTTCTCTCCCAACGTTCTATATTAATTATTCTATCATACCATTTAATTCCCTCTATTCTGCGCAGGCACCAGTTAATGAATGTCTGTAATTTATTAGTAATTGCCTTAGTTGTTCTCCATGTTTCCACCCCATACAATAGTACTGATTTAACATTAGAATTAAACATTTTTAGTTTAGTATTTCTTTCAAGTTCTTTTGACCTCCACAAATTCCCTAGTGCTATGAAAGCTCCTCTTGCCTTTTGTTTTCTTATTTTAATATCTCTATCAGTTCCTCCATCTTTATCTACATTACTGCCCAAAAAGGTGTACGACTCCATGTCTTGGAGTGGGGTGCCATTGAGAGAAAGCAGCACAGAATACACAAGGTTAAAAAGACAAGCGACGAAAGACCAGAGGTTAGCTCTTGGTCAGTTGCAAACCAGATGTCGAGGAAGGCGGTTGTAGTATTTACAATTTGGAGAATAGCATAAATGATCTGTATAAGAGTCTGCTGCTTTTGTATAGACAACAGTTGTAGTGTTAGGTATGTTGAATACAGAGCCAATCCGTTTTTAGATAATTAACTGTAACGGTGAGAATAATATGTACATTGGGAAATTGTGCTAATGGAAAAATGAGGATGAACTACATTAATTAAAGCTGACAGAAGTTATAGAGAATGTTAGTGTGTATTCTGCATGAGAGCTGCATGTGTTCCTGCACAGTAGTTTAATTCATGTTTAACTGTGCAGACAAATTAAGAAATGTAAAGCCAGCCCAGAGTGTTCTAACCCTAGACAAGCTTATGCCGATGTAATAGAAGACAAACAAATACAGGGCAGACGCGCATCAATGAGCTTGGGAACAAGCATCATTACAGTGATAAAACATATGTTCTGTGGTAGAAAAGAGCAGAAACATTACACTGTCTAGGTAAACGATATCTATCTTTGCTGCCAGTAACAAAGCAGAAACTCTGCCATGCAACCCGCTTTTTATTACAGGAGTTAAAGGTCACTTTAATCGTTGCCTCACTAAATTGGGGCATCAATTTTTTGATTGAGTGCATTTCACATTTCATTTCTTTCCTCTCGTCTCTCTTTCCCCTGCTCCATGTATCGTTTTTATTCCTCTCCCTCCCACCTTCGTATCTTCCCACACAGCAGTCGCTGGAGGACTGAAATCTACACATGCAGTCACAAACTCGAGCAGAAATGTGGCATCCCAAGAACCAAAACCTGTAACGATTTGCAGTGTGAAATATTCTGCAATTTTTGTGATGTTTTTTTTTTTCTAAATTACTGAGGTAAGCAGTTGCTTTCATCTTAGGTAAATCAGGGCAACGATTCATGACAGGCCGTGTCTGGGGTAGCCGACAGATGATTACATAATATCTGCTTAACTTTTTAAAAACTCACACTGCTGACAAAGGTTATAAAGAAAAATATTAATAAATGTACACTCAACTTACTCGAACAAACTTTTTCTTGTTTTCAGTTTGAAGAGTTCCATTACCACTGTCAGACTCTTCTGTAACAGAAAGTTTATTATGAAAAGTTGTATTAACAGCCTCAACCAAAGAGATCATTTCTACAACTATCCGAAACTATTGGCATAAAGGAGTCAACCTGATCAGTTACTTCTCATACTAAAATACTGTTAAGTTTTACTTCAGTCGGGAGTCGCCGGATGAAGCAGCTTACCGCTGGCGTCCAAATCGGAAGGTTGTTGGTTCACTCCCTGGGGGAGCCGGACTTATTTTTTTTTTAATGAACTTGACTCCAAGGTCGACCCAACCTTGAGTGGGTACCGGGTGCGTTCCTGGGAAGTAAAGGCGGCCGGTGGTATGCTGACGACATCACCAATCTTGTGCCAATTGGTCTATAAAAACATAGGTCTAGCCCTATATGCCTAAAGGCGCAGAAAAGGGACCTTTACTTTTTTTTCTTCAATTACTTCAGTCCCAGACAGATTTTCATTGTTCATTCAATTCGTTATTACAAATAATTATATCACTGTTGCTTTCATAAATACTTATGTTATATGTTACTTCAGCTGATTCAGTCCCAGTTATTACTTCACCCATTTCTGACTTAAATCGTTAGTTCAATATTCCCTGTGAGGGTTCCAGGCCCGAGTGTGGAGGGGAAAAAAAGAATCCCCCCCCCCCCCCAACAATCAAACATGTCTTTAAAGTTGACTACTAATTAGGGCTGTTTCCTTTTAAGTCAGAGTGCATCTACCTGAGAGGAAAGAAACAAATAAGCAAGATGAGTAAAATGGATTTACACACAAAACTCAAGTTCTGGAACTTGATTAAAATGGGTCTATCTGTGTTTTTTGTTTTTTTTTTTAACCTCCCAAATGGGGCCTAAACACCCACAGGGTATGGGTGGAATCAAATCCAACCCTTTTGCTCTTTCTCTCTCTCATTACTGTTGATCTTAGGGTTTCTCTTAGACATCCTGAATTTCAGTACCGGTTTGACGATTTCTATAGCATGTTCAGACCAAATATGACATGTCGCTTGAAAAAAGCAACAGCTGATCACAGTGTCTGTTGTCTGAGTTACAAAAAACCCCATAAAAAAACAGACTTCATGCTCATGAGACATACCTGAAACAGTTAAATCTGACAGGCTAAGATTTCCATCCTCATCCTTTTCTCTGTTCAAACCATTGTTGCTGGGATCTTGACTTTCCTCTTCCTCCTCATCATCACTATCACTTTTGTCAGGTAAAGACTGTTTCTGCATCAACGACGTCAGCTTCCTCTGGGTCTCCTCAAGATGAATTGTCTGCTTCCAGATTCGTTGGAGTTCTGTGAGCGACTTCAGAGTCTGGACCTGCCATTGGTTGAACGAAACGTGAATATTCATATTATATAGCATACATGGAAGACAAGAGTAATAAAGCCACAAGAAAATCTGGCTTGTCATCAGACAGCGTTCATACAAGGTGAGAGGTCAACAGCAAAGTATTCTAGGAGAATATGCCATATTAACATAAATGAGAGAAACTTTACACTTACGGAACTACTGAGGAGCAGATCGGAACACCTATGGATCTGTCTGGAGGGCTGTGATGATAATCCTTACTAATCACTTATACCATAAACTGACGCCTAAGTCAAATCTCGAAGCCAAAATTATTTGTACAAAACTAGGTGTCAACTTATATGGAAGGTATAAGATGCATGGGCCTAATTCAGAAGTCTAAAACTAAAATCTTGAGAAAGACTAGTATAAAATGTAAGGCAGATGCCCCGTGTCTCCATCCAAATACAGCAGTGTAGCCAGTCTGACCACACTGAGAAAACATGGCAACAATAAAACTGATAATGTTCTTTGCACTGGAACCTAGGTTTGGGTTTAGGTAGGTTTAAACAACGGATCAATATCATGGCACAAGGGTAAAAACTCACAACTGCTCCGGTGTACTTCTAACTCAAGCCCGAGTCCAAAGAATCTCAGCGCAGTGCACAAACTCCATAGCACTGGCGAGGCTCCTGAAATACTTTGGGTAGATTTTTAAATCCAAATTTTGCCAGGGCAACGCTATTAGGCTACTCTTTTTTATTTCCAACTGCCAAAGGATTTATTTATATGCACATCAATATACACAGGCATCAGTGAAATGAATAAAGGCAAGCCAACAAATGCATAGAGAAGAGACTTAGAGAGTATAATAAATAAGCTATAGAGGACATGAATGAGCTGCTTGCAACAGCAAAGGATAGGACAACTCGGCATGAGTAGGTCAAGGGTACGTCAGGCAATCGCAAGTCCAGCATAACAGCAAGCAGGTAACTGCTCCATACTTGTGCCAGTGGAGACCAGAAAGATTATCACTGTGCTGCACAAAAAATGCAGTTCACTGATGATGGAAGCAGCAGTTACAACCAATCAGTAGTTACATACACAACAGACCTCTCACCGTTTTCTGAATCTGTTGACCAAGGTCAAAAAGCATATTTTATTGGGGAATAAAGGCAAAAGAAAGAAAAATATTAACTTGAAATGAAGCGATGCTTCACTTGAAATGTACCTTGGCTCACTACATATTGGCTTTCGCCACGGCTCACTCTCTGGATGCTTACTGCTACAAAACTTGCACTGCTCCAACATCTGGGGTTAACAACACAAACTCCACTCAGCTTCTTTATACATTCTGTCAGTTTATTCTGGTCCATTTATTTCACATGTTCAAACATTATTCACACTTCTATTACTCACGACATATTCGAACACTAACCATTTGCGCGACATAAAGACGACATCTTCAATTACTACAACCGTCTTCCCTGACTTCTGATGATCGACTGACCACGAGTCTAGCTCGGGCTTCCCCTCGCTTACTCGACTAGGCACAAGTATCTCGTGCTGTCCCTTGTTTCTGCTTGCCACCGTGTAATCGTGGAGACCATGCAAAGCACCTCATCACAAACTACTTAAGTGTTCCACCAACACAGAGGATGTAGATTGCATCTTTGAAATTAGTATAAAGGGAGAACAAACAGGGCGTAGGTCGCCACAAAAAGACTAAATCTAGTAGTCGGTTCGGTTTGGACGTCCTGTAAATGTTGAGTGAGAAACAATGTGATCACAAGAACTGTTGGAACAACATTCATCATCAATTTTATTGAGTAACAAAGAATTAAATGGTTTGGTCAACTAATGAGAATGAAACCAAGGATGCCAGCAGCAAGAGTATACAACCTGAAAAATGCAACACCAAGAGGCAGGGGAAGATCTAGAAGAAGATGGATTGAAGGAGTCACTGACACCTTGAGACTGCATAACATCAATGCATATCAGACGACCAAGTGCGCCCTGGCTCGGCTGCCGATCGTCTGATAAACTGTGATATTGACAAAAGAAAGAAAAAAAGGGAATGTATTCCATTTAATGCTTCTTTCTGTTTATCTTTATACATTTACAAAAAAATTGAAAATCTAGATAAATCTATTTTTTTTTCATTTATTAGTGGTTAGGTTAGTTGCGTTTTCTTTACAGTATGTTGCAGAACCAACCCCAGCAGCCCCTGGCTGTTGTGTGGTTTTTCTAGGCAAATTTACGTCCAGTAGTTTGCCATTGCTTTCTGGACGGTCAGCTTCTTGATACCACTGTCGAAACAATGCAAGACGCATGGCCCGCAGCTGGGATCAAATCCGGCACCCTGGCATTACGAAGCGTTTGCATCGATTTAGCCACAGAGCCGACTATTTATTAGTGACGTGTAAAAAAGTAAAAACTATCTTCTTTTTTTTTAAGCCTTCATAGGGTGAAAGGGTTAAGCTGGCATCAAAATTAGAACTATTAACTCTAATGTCAAATCTGTGCTCCTGTACAGAATTAAACCACAGACAATGACACCTGACATTGGGGTGTGAGTTGTCTTAGGCCTTCACATATTCTAGGTCATGAAATATGAACTGTGGTAGCTGCTTCCCTTGCCTGTAATCTTTCCTTTCCAGAAAATTCTGGAAATTATTGGGTGTCCATTTTTATTATGGTTGGTTTACTCTGGAAGCCAAACTGGTCAGAAACAATCTGGCCATTTCTATAGACTGAACCAGCACCACTTCCCTAGCAGACAAAGGCAGTAATGACTGTGCCATTACTGGTTACGTCTAACTGACTGATATGTGGCAACACAAACATAATGAACAATGTCACTATTATCCAACGAAGAAACCATGTGAACAGACAAACCTGTAGTTTTGTGTGCTTGGCTTTCTTTGCCGCCTCATAAGCAGAGAGGTAAGTTTTGCAAACAGAAGAGTATGTGGTTCCCTGTAATTCTTTCAGCTCAGCAATATTGAGATATGTCCGGCACACCTGCTCAAAGACGGATACTTGTTTCAATAAATCACTTCAAAAAATTATCAGCAAAGAGTCATAGATTGATTAAACTGTCAGTTATCATGATTACAAGAAACAGCACAAAAGACAAAACATTATAAACACAAGCATTATTGTGGGAAACAATACTCTAGAGCAAAGCTGTAAAATCTATAATTGTTATAAAGATCGGCAGAGAAAGCTAAAACATTTAATTAAACCTTTAACGGTTATAGGAAACAATTCGGCAGAGGACATCTTGAAAACATCTATAATGATTATAATAAGTTCGCCTAACAATAAAAGTTCATAACAATTATGATCAGAGGAAAAAAAATGTAACTAAACTAGGGTCAACTAACTGGGAGCCTCTTTCAAATTCTGAGTAAATCTGCCTGATAGGCAAGGGACAAACAGTCTGTATAAAAATAAGCTAGATCTATGAAACAGATGTGCATGCAACATACAGGTTCTGGGATAAGTCTAAAGTTTAGAGGTGGCCAAGCAACGATAACTGTGTGCTGGAGTTTACAGCCGGTGAACGCCAAGAATAATAACAATTAACAGCTTCAAACAAACACCAGCCAAGAATAATAACAATTAACAGCTTCAAACAAACACCAGCCAAGAATAATAACAATTAACAGCTTCAAACAAACACCAGCCAAGAATAATAACAATTAACAGCTTCAAACAAGCACCAGCCAAGAATAATAACAATTAACAGCTTCAAACAAACACCAGCCAAGAATAATAACAATTAACAGCTTCAAACAAACACCAGACAAGAATAATAACAATTAACAGCTTCAAACAAACACCAGACAAGAATAATAACAATTAACAGCTTCAAACAAACACCAGACAAGAATAATAACAATTAACAGCTTCAAACAAACACCAGCCAAGAATAATAACAATTAACAGCTTCAAACAAACACCAGCCAAGAATAATAACAATTAACAGCTTCAAACAAACACCAGCCTAAAATGCTCACTAGGTAATGTCATGGGAAGTAAAGGCAACCTGTGTAACACTGACCACATCATCCATTGAATTCTAACTGGTCCACAAAACTATGTCTAGCATTATATGTCATGTCTCCAGGTGGGTTCCAGCACCCCATTGTCGGGAAAACAAGAAAGGACCCACTGCCTCCCCAACAATCACGTCGTAAGAGTCGACAAATTGGGGATTTCCTTCAAAGTTGGAGTGCATCTGCTAGAGAGGCAAGGAACCAACAGTCTGCACACAAATAACAAAGGCTTCAAACTGACCACTTAGGAATGCATTATAAATAGTTTACAGTACTTCCCCAGGGGGTCTCGGTTGTGAAGTGGTCAAGCCGTTTGCCCCGCGCTCTGAAGATCATGGGTTTGTTTCATGGATGCGCCCTTCAGTTCACAAGTGCAATTTTCACGGCGATCCCTGGGGATCTTTGCCGGAGCTACAGAGTTTGTGCTCTGCGTAGCACTCTCGGCTGGCGGCAAGCCATTCTGCGGAGAGAGACTGAGCAATATGGGATAAAACCCAGGTGAAATGAAGTCGACCCTCTCAACTTTAACCTTTTAACCTTTAACATGCTTGCCAGTACTGGCGTCATCAGACAGAGAGAGAACATTTAAGGCAGGGGTACAATGCCTGTTTGTCCTTAATAATATATAATTTTTAAATAACTGTTTGTTTTGAAGAGTGGCTGACCGAATGGTTCAGACACCAGGCTCTCATCCAGGGGACCCAGTTTCGAATCCGCGGTAAGGTTGTGGATTCTCTCAGTGGCAAAAATAAAATCCTAAACTGCACAGTTCATGTCGACATCACTAGCCATGCAGCTCAAAATCCACTGGCTCAAAACCCTCCTGTCTACACAGTAAAACTAGTACAGCAATGGCATTTTCTTTCTGGCAGTTTGTTTTGCCTGCCTGGGCATGCGCTGTGAATACCTTTCTATTCCAAGTTATTTATGTAATGTATTTAGGTGTAAAATAACCTGGAATTAAATATAAAAATAAAAGCTACTTACAACTTTCAAGTAATTTTCAATAGCTTGGGTATAATTTCCTAGTTCTGCAGCACTGTCTGCCATGACTTCGTACAATTTGGCAAGTTCTTTCTCATTAGTCTTAGTCTGCAAATCCTGGCTAGCCTCCTGCATTTTGTTCACTACAAAAAAGGAACACTCTGAGTGCTACAGGTTATACAATACAAGACAACAGAAAAAAATATTAGTTTGTTCACCGCAGACTTTAAAAAAATACATAGGCATTCTATCTATCTATCTATCTGTCTGTCTATCTGACTGTCTGTTTGACTATCTAACTGACTGTATGTTTGACTGTATCTATCTGAATGTATGTTTGACTGTCTGTCTATCTATATATCTAATCTATAGATCTAATCTATCTATCTATCTACCTACATCCTTTTCATGTCATTGCTGACACATAAGGCATTCACAAGTCATCCCCACTGCTGCCGGTCTGTTGCTTTTCAGCCTATGGTATCCCATGTAATTTTATATTCCTTCATTTTCCTTCTACTGTCGTTCTCTCTGTTTCCTTAGGTTGTCCATGGCTCATTTTTCCATCTGCTGTCCTTGCTAAAGTGTCTAGATGCTTTTGGCAAACATGTCCAAGTCATCTTTATCTTCTTTCTTTGATGTTTGTCAGTTTATGTGTGATTTCTGCTCTCATTTTTCAATTCACTGTAAACACAAACAGTAGATTGACAAGTGCTACAGGCTGTTAAATACAGCGCCGTACCACAGATTTTATCGGTTTGATGCCAATCTGTAAAATGTAGTGGTCTCGAGGTATGGTGTCCGCCTCGAGTGCTGGAGGTCCCAGGTTCAAGTCTCGGTGAAGACTAGGATTTTTTCACCTGGACTTCCAGTAATTTTCCCTGGTCTCTGGGTAGTAAAATGGACACCCGTGTGTATTCTTGCACACGTAAAAAAAAAAGTCCTTGGCAGTTGGAAATCAAAAATCAAACAGAGTAGCCTAACGATGCTGCCCAGGCAAAATTTTCAGGATCCTCACCAGTGCAATGAAGTTTTTGTACCGCGCTGAGATTCTTCAGACTCAGGCTTGAGTTAGAAGAAGAACAGAGCATTTAGGGTTACACCCCATTAAACATAAACAGCACAGCCGTGGTTAAATACAAACAGTAGATGAACAGGTCCTAGGTTAGGTTAGCTGTGTATCCTTTACAGCAGTGTTTCCAAAACTTTTCTTAGCCGCTGCGCCTTTTTTCAATTAAAATTTTACCACTGTACCCTAATCTAAGTAAAAGAATGACTATTGATATGTAAAAGATTAAAAAATAGAACTCGTGTATCTTTGCATATTTCGCGGGGCCTTTGTGAAGAGGTAGCAGCTCCCAGTTTTGGAATCACTGCTTTACAAGACGCAGAACCAACCCCAACATTTGCTGGCCGTTTGGGTTTACTAGGCAATTTTATATTCAGTAGTTTGCCACTGCTTTCTAAACTGGTGACTCTTGATACTACTGTCAAATCAACGCAAGGTGGCTTGCTGCTAAAGTACCTGCCGTTGGAATAAAACAGGTATCTCAAAATTATGAAACATGTTTCCCAAGCCTAGGCCACAGAAAAAGCTTACCACAATGAAACATCTTCACCAGTTTCTCTTCACTGACATCTGACTCTACTTTAATCTTGTGAGCTTTCTTGAGGCAATGTTTGGCTGTGAGAAAATCAGCACAGTTGGCCAGAACCTGTTACATAACAGAGACAAATCACAACAAATTAGTTATCAAATATAGTACAGAGTTTCATACTCTTCTTTACAACCTATTTTCCAAATTTACTATGAAAAAATCTTTTATTTACACAAAATTTAATCTCAGTTTACCGAAGCATTCAAACCCTTGCATTAGCAATGCAGAAATTAAACAGCATGAAGAACTTACGCCAAAACAACTGTAAATTAGTTAAAATAAAAATCTTTTGATCATGCATTTTGCTTGTGGCAACTTATGGTTGTGAGTCCTTGGCTCTCAATTACCGAAGAAAAGGTTTGGAGCTTTTGAATTAAAATCTCAGAACACCAAGGATCAAGACAAGGAAAAACATCAACATTCTACACGAGTTAAACATCAAGGAGAACTGGCTCATAAACAGCATCCTGTCCCGAAAGTTGAAGCTTTTTGGCTACATAAAACATCCATTGTGGTTTGGAAAAGACGGTGATGGAGGATGCAGTTTGTGGAAGGCGAGGCAGGGGTCAACCACCGAGAAGATGGATACAAGACATTGAAGACACATTGGCACTGAAAGCGCATGGGGCTGGAGAGCTGGCTAGGGAAAGGGATACTTTCAGGTGTGCCATGAGGAGAGCAACGTTCTGTAAAGGACTTGCTGACTGATGATGATTCAAACCAGAGTATTGTGAACAAAAGTCTAACATTAAAACTGCTTTGCCACATTTTCTTCTGGATAAAACTAGTACTGGGCATCTTGTTATGAATAAAAGTTAGTTGCGTATCTTTTACAGGACGTTGCAGAGCCAACCCTAGCATTGCTTTTTTGGCTGTTGTTGTTTTTCTAGGCAAACTCCCGTCAAGCAGTTTGCCATTGCTTTCTGGACAGATACCACTGTTGAAACCAACACAAGATGCAAGATCCGCAGTTGGGATCGAACCCGGCATTACTTAGCTCATCGCAACACCTAAGCCACAGACGCCACAAATTATCAATACTTTAATTAAATGAGGAAATACGATTCATTAAAATGTACAAAATATAAATCAAGTTAGTGGATTCGTTGCTTCAAAGATTTTACTTACTGGATGTAAAAAGACCATAAAAGAATTTGTTATAAAATGTGAAACAGCTACTGTTTAATAATGCACAAATTTCATATCACTTCTTCATTTCTAATCTTGAACTGCCTTTCAGCGTCAGGTTTTTAAGAGGCATCCGGTGACAGCCTGGGTATGTGCTACCTAGGCGCTCGTATTTACAGCCTCAGATATTCCATCTATCCATTGTTTGTGTGGTTGACCTCTGGATCTGCTTTCATTATATCTTATTGACAGGACTATCAGTGGTGCATTGTATGGTGGTAATCTTGACACATGTCCAAACCATTTGATCTGTTGTCGCCTGATGTAGTTTAATGCTGGTTCTGTCCCAGCTTCTTTCACGCAATCGCCATTTCTGATCCTGTCTCTTCTAGCTACATTTAGGATTCATCATAGACATTTAATTTCTGTTGTTTCGATTTTTCTTTTGTCTTTTATTATATCACTCACCGTGGCTTTCTGTATGTAGGTCTCTCTCTCCCACACTTTATTCCTGAGCTTCTCTGCCATCGTCAGTGCCACATCCAGTGACCTTAAAGCCTGACTGAACTGACATCCCCTGAGGTACAAGCTAGCAAGACTTCCATGACACAAATATGACTCTTCATACAACTTGAATTTTCTTTAAAAATATCAGAAACACACTGTTGTTAATTGCTAAGTATACACGATTTGTTTCAACACTAAGAATTTTGCATTACATCAACAGTAAAGTGTATATATTAGAGCTTGGTATTTTTTTTCTTCAGCAAGAAAAATGTGGAACAATGCCACAAATAATAATAAATATATGACTTTTCAGTATTTTTTGCACAAAAGGATTACCATTTTATGGACAGACCAGAACAAGTTATTATTCTACGCCTTAGAACAGGACACAATAGACTTCGCAGCCACATGTACACAAAATTTAAAATTGGCAAATCAGCCATGTGCACATGTGGATTTGCACCTGAGACAACAGACCATGTCCTCCAAGATTGCCCCAAATACAACATATCAAAGTTAAACTCTTGGCCAAGATAAACAACGGTGCAAGTCAAACTTTACGGGTCACTGAGTGAATTACAAAAGACAGTGAAGTTCATACTAGAGACAACACTGCAGATATAGATAATCTATTTCAAGCGAACGAATGAAGAAGAAAAAAAAGTATTTCTGTATCAGGGAAAATGCTGAACAATATATCACAAACAATAATGAATATTTGAGAGTTTAGTCTATCTTCTGTTCTTTACCACAGGGCATGCAGCACAATATAAAGACAGCTGGAAAGTTTTTCTTTACTACGACGAAGCCCTCAATGCACATATCCAGAAACTGGTGTACATTTCCTCTATCTTCTGTTTAATCTCCATTCTGCGGCTGCCCTGGTGAATTCTTCATCTTTAGAATCAGGAAAAGTTACCAAGAGCCAAATCTGGTGGGCAGTGTTGGTGGTCGTTTTTTGAATGACCCTGCTCTAGATAACATGAATTAATCAAGTAACAGAAAGTATTGTGTTTGTTATTCGACATTTGCTTCGTTAATATAAATTTATGTAACCTATGGTGCCATTTCAATGGGTTGAATTGAATTCTGTCCATATTCCATAGTCGTGGATTTCAAGCTGTACGATAGACATGGCCAATGAGACACCTTTTTTTGGGGGTGCCAAGTTGACCATGTATCTTAGTGCACTTGTATTCATGGCGAGGCGCAGACGCCGTCTGGAGGTGACAGGTTCAATTCCCGGCACGGTAACTATAGCTTTCGATTTTTATGTTGTCTAGTGTGTTCTTCTATCTTTCTACTTCTTTCTATGAGTGCCGTTCACAATACTTTCTGTTACTTGATTAATTCATAATATTTAACGGCCTCAAATGGTTCCCCCCTCTGTTTATTTCTAGATAACATGCAAAAACTTGTGTTCTAAACATAAAATCAAATACTGACAGGGATTTACTTTATAAGATGTTGTTTTTTTCATTCTAAATATTAACTTGTTTTCACCCAAAAAAAATCATGATTTTATTGGTATGCTAGTATAAATGTCAGAAGTCAATTATAAATGACATGCTGGCTGGTAAATATGATCAATAGCCAGTCATACATGAGGCGCTGTCTGGGAGGGAGAAAGAGAACCAAATAACTGTGTGGAAGCATTCTTTTGCAGTCATTTTCATTCATCCATTCATTATCCTGTTATGCTATTATATGTCATACAGGGCTCGCTGTCTATTCCTCCACTCCATTCTATCCTGTTGAATAGAATCAACATCATGACTGGAATCTAGTCCAGCAGCTTTGGCCTCTCTCGTCAACATTCATCTTATGGTTTCTTTTGGGCGTTCTCACCTCCTTAATCTCTTGATTTCCCATTGTAATGCCTGTTTGATGATTGCTGGTTTCTTTTCAGGATGTGTCCAATGCAGCAGCATCTTCTGTCTCATAACTGTTGATACTAGTGGTTGCCCACACATTTCTCTTATTTTCTTTTAAAGTCTTCCTAATTTATTTTCATAATTTTCCTCAGATGGCGTAAAGTCAAGGGTCACCTAACTTGATAATTGTTACCATGAACATCTGCAGACAAACCCACAGCAACAGGTCGCTGAGGAAAACGAACATTGTTGTTTCTTCTTTTTCTTCACTTCTTTAACCGCTTCGGGTGTTAGGGGGGGGGGGGCGGGGGGGGGGGGGGGGGGGGGGGTGGGATTTAAGATTCTGCTTCTTGTCATTCTGATCGACTCAACCATAAGACGTGTCATACTTTTGTAGTTTCACTGATGTTATCTTTCTATGTAGTTCTTGGTCTACCTTGTGTTCTACATCAAAAATATATCTGCCACCTAAATTTGCCAGTTCAATTCTTAGTCCATTTTTACAGAATAAAAAAGAGATAGTGTGTGTGTGTGTGTGTGAGAGAGAGAGAGAGAGAGAGAGAGAGAGAGAGAGAGAGAGAGAGAGAGAGAGAGAGAGAGAGAGAGAGAGAGAGAGAGAGAGAGAGAGAGAGAGAGAGAGAAAGAAAAAAAAAGAGAGAGAGAGAGAGACAGACATACTGGCTCCTGAGAAAACAGTTTGTGAATGAATTTTTCTGGTTTTGCTATCCTTGTCAATCACACTCTGTAAAACACAAATGTAACCCCGACAGGACCTCGTAAGACACTGCATAAAATAAATAATAAAACTGATCCAACAAACACCACAGAAAACTTACTCTGCAATTACAACTGCTCTTTTCATCATGTCAGCGCTGTCTTTCAAATTACCCCTCAAGTCAAAAACTAAGCCTGGAAATCAGACAATAGTAGCAATCTGACCTATTTGTTAATTAGAGTTCAGACACTTAAGAGTCATATTTACACATTCATAAAGTGGCATTCAGACAAGATAAAGAATATATTTATATTCACCCAGTTGAGTGCAAAGAAGATAAAGTGAAACTTTCACAAACTGGAGTTCTTACAAGATAAAGTAATACTTTAACAATCACTAAACCTGACAAAGTGACATGGGTGGATAGTTTTATACTTTTCCAAGGCCCACCACTCATCTTCCTCTCAGCATTCACAGCTGTTAATTCCAGTTAAAAGTTCCGGTTGTTTGTCAACTTCTGGACTTCAGCCTTGTTCCAGAACTTGAGTTTTGCGTGCACGCCAATTTGAGAGATCTGGCTTACTTGTACGCAGACTTCGTTCCTGGCCTCGCAGGCAGACGTGCTCAGACTTTGAAGGAAACCATCCCTAATTAGTCACCTTTTACGACATGCTCGGTAGAGGGAGCAGCGTGTCTACTGTTATCCCCCCCCCCCCAGATCAGGCCAAAGAAACCACACAGGGAGATATACAACTGATCTATAAGGTACTAACAACATGATTACAGATTATTCACCCCAAAAAATCAAAAAAATTTCACAGGCATTCTATCTTTCCATCTATCTATCTAACTGTTTGACTGTCTATCTGTTTGACTGTCTGTCTGTCTATATATCTATTTGTTTGACTGTTTGTCTGTCTATATATCTATTTATTTGTCTCTCTGTCTATATATCTATTTGTTTGATTGTCTGTCTGTCTGTCTATCTATTTGTTTGATTGTCTGTCTGTCTATCTATTTGTTTGATTGTCTGTCTGTCTATCTATTTGTTTGATTGTCTGTCTGTCTATCTATTTGTTTGATTGTCTGTCTGTCTGTCTATCTGTTTGATTGTCTGTCTGTCTGTCTATCTATTTGTTTGATTGTCTATCTGTATGTCTATCTATTTGTTTGACTGTCTGTCTATCTATCTATTTGTTTGACTCTGTCTATCTATCTATCTATCTGTTTGATTGTCTGTCTATCTATTTGTTTGACGGTCTGTCTGTCTGTCTGTCTGTCTATCTATCTATCTATCTATCTATCTATCTATCTATCTATCTATCTGTTTGACTGTCTGTCTATCTATCTGTCTATCTATCTATCTGTTTGACTGTCTGTCTGTCTATCTATCTATCTGTTTGACTGTCTGTCTATCTGTTTGACTGTGTGCCTGTCTGCCTATCTATCTATTTGACTGTCTGCCTATCTATCTATTTGACTATCTATCTATCTATCTATCTGTCTGTCTGTCTGTCTGTCTATCTATCTATCTATCTATCTATCTATCTATCTATCTATCTATCTATCTATCTATCTATCTATCTATCTATCTATCTATCTATCTATCTGTCTATCTGTCCGTCTGTCTATCTACCTATCTATTTATTTATCTATCTATCTATTTGTCTGTGTTTGACTGACTGTCTGTCTACCTACATTCTTTTCATGTTATTGCTGACACATAAGGCATTCACAGGTGATCTAACACGGGCTTTTGGGCCCTACCTAAGTTTAGATAAACTCTGCCCTTCATGGACATATACTCAGCAGGCTTGACTGATGCCTTGACTTTGTCACACGCCTCCAAAGCCTTGACAAAGGCCTTCTCTGCCTTCTTGTTGGCTACAGAAGATTCCTGGATATTTTTGCTCTCTGCCTGTGACAGGTAAGTTCTTCCTATGGTGGCCCAGGCTCTCTGCTCTTCTATGTGGTTTCCACATTCTCTGAAACCACATGTAATTCACATATGTTCATGATTCTGTTTGGTATTAACTCAAAGAATAGTCAGTCATTGACAAATCACACGTAATTCCCATATGTTCATGATTCTGTTTGGTGTTAACTCAAAGAATAGTCAGTCATTGACAAATCACACGTAATTCATATATGTTTATGATTCTGTTTGGTGTTAACTCAAAGAATAGTCAGTCATCGGCAAATCACACGCAATTCACATATGTTCATTATTCTGTTTGGTGTTAACTCAAAGAATAGTCAGTCATTGGCAAATCAAATTTTTAATCTTCTGTCTTCTTACAGACTATCAAATGTGGTGTTGGTAACTATGTCCCTGTATGTATGACAGTCTGTGTAAGTTTGTATGTATGCATATGTATTAATGGATGTGTCAGTCTGTATTTATGGATGTGTGAGTTTGTATGTATGCATGTGTATTTATGGATGTGTGAGTTTGTATGTATGCATGTGTATTTATGGATGTGTGAGTTTGTATGTATGCATGTGTTTTTATGGATGTGTCAGTTTGTATGTGTGTATGAGTTTGTATGTTTGCATGTGTCAGTTTGTATTATCAAATGTGGTGTTGGTAACTATGTCCGTGTATGTATGACTGTGTGAGTTCATATGTATGCATGTGTATTGATGGATGTGTCAATTTGTGTGTATGCATGTGAATTTATGGATGTGTGAGTTTGTATGAATGCATGTTTGAGTTTGTATGTTTGCATGTGTCAGTTTGTACTATCAAATGTGGTGTTGGTAACTATGTAAGTGTATGTATGAGAGTCTGTGTGAGTTTGTATGTATGCATGTGTTTTTATGGATGTGTCAGTCTGTGCGTATGCATGTGTTTTTATGGATGTGTGAGTTTGTATGTATGCATGTGTATTTATGGATGTGTCAATGTGTTTGTATGTATGAGTTTGTATATATGCATGTGTCAGTTTGTATGTATGCATGTGTCTTTACTATCAAATGTGGTGTTGGTAACTATGTCCGTGTATGTATGACAGTCTGTGTGAGTTCGTATGTATGCATGTGTATTGATGGATGTGTCAATTTGTATGTATGCATGTAAATTAATGGATGTGTGAGTTTGTATGAATGCATGTGAGAGTTTGTATGTATGCATGTGTATTTATGGATGTATGAGTTTGTATGTATGCATGTGTATTTATGGATGTATGAGTTTGTATGTATGCATGTGTATTTATGGATGCTTCAGTCTGTAGTTACGCATGTGTCGGTTTGTATGTATGCGTGTTAATTATGTATGTGTCTGTATAATGTGTAAATGAGTGTGATGCATATTTACGTGTACAGGTATGTACATTTGTATGTGTGTAAGCATGTATATGTGTGTTTGGTATCTTGATGTATATGCATCAAGTCTAGCCACTCCAAAGACAGAGTCATAAGTCTCCTGAGATCTGCCTTATCTCATAGGTCTCTTGAGAACTGCCTTACCTCATAGGTCTCCTGAGAACTGCCTTATCTCATAAGTCTCCTGAGAACTGCCTTATCTCATAAGTCTCCTGAGAACTGCCTTATCTCATAAGTCTCCTGAGAACTGCCTTATCTCATAAGTCTCCTGAGAACTGCCTTATCTCATAAGTCTCCTGAGATCTGCCTTATCTCATAAGTCTCATGAAAACTGCCTTATCTCATAAGTCTCTTGAGAACTGCCTTATCTCATAGGTCTCCTGAGAACTGCCTTATCACATAGGTCTCCTGAGAACTGCCTTATCTCATGTCTCATGAGAACTGCCTTATCTCATAGGTCTCCTGAGAACTGCCTTATCTCATAGGTCTCCTGAGAACTGCCTTATCTCATAGGTCTCCTGAGAACTGCCTTATCTCATAAGTCTCCTGAGATCTGCCTTATCTCATGTCTCCTAAAAACTGCCTTATCTATCTAATGAGCTCCAACTCGCCTAATAGACAACATCAATCACAGCTTTATCCAAAGTGAGTGAGTGTTTTGTGATCTGTGAATTACAGGCATTGTCTGTATTAATTACTGATTAATCAGTATTAATTTCCTATGTTCACACGGGTGTCAGAGCCTCAAATGGCCACACATGGGGATTTCTGGAGGAGACGACTCAGTTAAGTGATTTTCTGTGTATTCTTGTCAGTATTTGTAAATTAGTCTATCATTTATTATGCCTATGAAGGCTTTATAGCAGCAATGTTCGGGACTGTGAACATTTGAATCTGACTAGCGCAACTTTTTGTATGATTTAATAGCTTTTCCTGATATAAGGGCGTCTCTGTGGCGAAGTGGTCAAGCTGTTTGCCTCGCGCTCTGAAGTCCTGGGTTCATTTCATGGCAATGCCTTTCAGTTCATTATTGCAATTTTTACAGAGATCCCTCAGAATCGTTATTGGAGCTACAGAGGTTGTGCTTTGTGAAATGCTCTCAGCAGGCAGCTAGCTGTTCTGCAGAGAGAGGCTGAGCCATATGGGATCAAATCCGCTGCAATGTAGTCAATCCTCTCACCTTCACCTTCCTCATATAAGCTGAAGACAGTACAGTAATGTAGACACCAAAATTAGATCCAACACTGAATAAAAATCGAAAAAAAAATAAAAGTTAGACTCAAATGCCCTGTATTGAGCCTGTTTTCATACACAGACATCATGTAGTATCCCATGTAGCAGTCCTTTGCATAATGTCCTTATCAGTCACTGTATACTTGAAAGAAACCTGGTCGCACACTGGTGCAGTTTCCTACTCAATGTGACACTTATATCCTATCCCCATCTTTCAGCTAGTCAGCCCCTGCCTCTCTTACCTGCTACCATGTCTTCTGCTACAAGCTTTTCCAATCTGCCATGGCATGTGATATGGTCCAAAAATGTCACCACACCACATAAAACAAAAACACCTTTAAAAAGTCCTACCTGGCAATAGTCAAATGATTTTTTTGCAACTCTAAAGCTTCTCTGTAGAGTCCCTGAGAACAAAGATTTTCTCCAATCTTTCTGCAGGCCACGGCTTCTCCAATTTTGTCTCCTAGTGTCTCACTTAAATACCTCTCCTGGCTGTGTTCTTGTACTGCATCCTCGTACCGCCCTGAAACAGATACAAATCATTTCAAATTATTTTGAATGTTGAATTAAGAAATGACATTACAGCACTCGGGACACTCCCATAAGCGCTCCGTCCCCCACCTTCAGCTTAAAAGCAAGGAGTTCGAATTCTGACTGTAAATTATGTAAATGCTGAATGTATTTCTTCTTCTTCTCTATTTGAATAGAAATCCACAGGGTCAAAGAAAGAAAAGTTTATGTAAAAAAAAAAAACATGGAAAAAAGAATTGTATACTGAACTGAAACAGTTGTAGAGGAAAGCTTCACAAGATGACAATGAACTGATGAGCTGGCTAAGGATCTATGCTCCACTGGGTAATAAAAAAGAAAAATACCATCTTCGTAATGAATATAAGCTACAATACCCGCTGCTGTCTCTGGGGATATAAATAAAATGGTCAGGGTCCAGTCTTTGTCATGGTGGTACTCTCTTACCATCATCCAAAAACCATAAGTATGATTTATCTATCGACTGCCAAGGAAATCATTAAATGGTATGATAGAATGACTAATGTAAAACTTTGGGAGAGAACTAAACAGACTCCAGTGGACCAAGAGGTGAGGAAAAGACGCTGGCGTTGGATAGGACACACACTGAGAAAACAGGAGAACAGCATAACTAGAATGTCTTTGCATTGGAACCCACAGGGGCATATGAATAAAGGAAGGCCAAAAAACACATGGAGAAGAGAGCTGGAGAAAGAAGTTAGAAAGATGGGGAGGACATAGGGTGAGCTCCATGCAATGGCGAAGTATAGAATGACTTGACGTGAGTTGGTTGAGGGCCTATGCTCCATTGGGGGATAGAAAGGCAGAAGAAGAAGAAGAAGAAGCCAAGAAAATCAAACACCAGTATTCAGAATAATGAAATTATTAAACTCATACTCTAACTCACATGCACATATAAAGGGCAGAAAATAGGAGGAAGAAATACAAATGTCTTAATTTATGCAAGATTACAGTCTAAAGACTAAGGTTGTTTTTGTTTAAATATAATTTAAATCACCTAAATATATATGTAGCTTTGTGACCTTCAATTAATTTATTTGGAAATTAATCATAGTTTACTTTGTTCCAAATTCACAAATGAGATTTATATGTTATATATTCCACTATGGGTAAAAATTTCCAATTTTTGAAATCTGGCTTTGGAAAGTATGAATGTGGATAATTTGGAGATGCCTTGAACATTAAAATGCATAATGTATGAGTTTAGATGTTATATTTACCGCACTACAGACACATCCATATGTGCACAGATTCCTTCTTGAACATACACACACACACACATATATATATATATATATCATCATCATCAGGTGCCTTGCCGACTGGCGTGGGCGATCATGCCTCTCCATAATCCGCGATCTCCTGCAGCATGTATCAGTTCGTGTGCCGACACACCTCCATGCCATGCAACAAGACTGTCAAGCATCTTCTCTCGTTGTCTTCCTCTATCCCTCCTTCCACAGATCTTTCCAGTGGTCACAACATGTTCTATTTTCCCTCTTCTCATAACATGGCCGAAAAATGATGACTGTCTCCTTCTGATGTCAGTGATAAGTTGTCTTCGGTCTCCCGCCTCTTTTAAAACCTCTTGGTTGCTCTTTTTGGCTGTCCAAGGTATTCTAAGCATTTCTGTAAAACCACATCTCTGAGGCCTCCAAAAATTGTTTGGCCTGCCTACCGATTGTCCAGGATTCACATCCATATGTTAAAACTGGATGTATGTAGCAAGCAAGAATTCTTTTTCTAACTCTCAATGACAAGGATATATTGCACAAGATGTTTTTCATTTTATAAAATGCAGTTTTTGCCTGTCCAATTCTGTTTCTTATTTCAGTTATGCACCTTCCATCTGATGTTATCCATGTGCCCAGATACTTAAATTTCTGTACTTGTCTTAAAATAACACCATTGACTTTTATTACACATTTAGGAATAATTTGTTTCTTTGATACCACCATTACTTCTGTCTTCCCATTATTCAAACTGAGGCCCATTCTTACACTTTCTAACACCACAATGTCTATCATTTCCTGTAATTCTTTCTGACTTGTTGCTATCAAGACTGTGTCATCAGCATAACGTAAATTGTTTATATTGTGCCCTCCAACCACGATTCCGGGCATATCAATTAAAGATCTCATAATATATTCACTGTATATTGAAAACAAATCAGGTGAAAGTACACATCCTTGTCGTACGCCCCTCTTTATGCTTTGAAATGTACCTAAACAGTTGTTAATTCTCATCATCATTTATAAAACCACATCGTCTAATTCATACTAAAAATCTACCCAAAGTATTTCAGGATCCTCGCCGGTGCTACAAAGCTTGTGCACTGTGCTGAGCTTCTTCGGACTTAGACTTAAGTTAGAAGAAGAACGGAACACTTATGGGTTACACCTCTGTGCCATGATGTTGGTCAATATAATATATATATATATATATATATATATATATATATATATATATATATATATATATATATATATATATATATATATATATATATATATATATATATATATATATATATATCAGCATTCTGCAATTACGGTGACAGTTCTATGCTGCTTGACAAGACTTCTCATGCATCTGGTGTGCCCCTCATGCCAGGCAGTGCATATTTTTACTCTCAGGTCTCGCATTCTTAGCAGCACTGTGAATGTGCTGCTCCCTAAATCCCCCGATCGCCCTATACCTCTAAGGGCATTAACACTGTCAGCAAGGTCCATACAACGGCCAAGTATAACTTAGACAGGCCTGGCTAGCCTATCAGCTCTTTCAATGTCAACAACACCTGTATTTCCTAGGAAAAAGACAAAGGTAACTTCAAACACAGTGGAGTTTTGCAATGACTCAGTCTACAGTCTGTGTACAGAGCCTGCCTTAATCCACCAGATCCTGCTCAGAGTCCTTCCATCGTGATGCTGCTTGCAGTCACAAAAGTACCCCAAGCCACTGGTTTAAGAAGGAAGTGGAGGGTGTAGGCCGCCTCGGGTGTCACCATTGAAGGCCGGTTGCAAAAATATTTTGTGTTTTTTTTTTTAAATAGTGGGTGGGGGAGGACAAAAATTAAAGGGGGCGGGGATGTTTTGCATCGGGTACCACCTCAACTTCCTACACCACTGACCCGGACTTCTGTTCTACCTGCAGAGAGTGAATGCCCATGCACTTTTTGTGTCCTCGTACAATGGAAATTTAATAAGAAAATTGAACTGGCATGAATGAACAGATCTCATGACTGAACAGATCTCTGGTGGACTGGGAAGGGAAAGACAAACTGCAAATGATCTACTAGTAAGCAGCCAAATTAGGATTATTAAAAACATATTATCCGAACATCACAGATATCATAAAACATGATCTCAGATTACATAAACAGATGTAGCAGTCATGACACTAAATTTACAAACCAATATAATCAGATGTATGTTTCTTTATCTTACAGTCCATGCATGCTGTGTGGTGTTGGTAGACATTCTACCCATAACCTTGTCTCTTATACTTTCAATAGGTTCTGACACAGTTATATCCCATGCCATGATGTCAAACTGTCCAGCACGTTCTCTATTGGTCTTCCTCTGCCGCTTTCCCCCAAGCTTTTCCATTATCATGATGTACTCCAGTTTTCTCCTTCTCATGACATAACCAAAGGCTGTCCCCTTCCGATGTGGGCAATCAGTTCTCTTTATGAGTTAATTTATTTCAAGACATCTTCATTAAGCTTGTTATCTATCCAGGGCGTTCTCATCATCATTTATAAAACCACATCGTCTAATTCATACTAAAAATCTACCCAAAGTATTTCAGGATCCTCGCCGGTGCTACAAAGCTTGTGCACTGTGCTGAGCTTCTTCGGACTTAGACTTAAGTTAGAAGAAGAACGGAACACTTATGGGTTACACCTCTGTGCCATGATGTTGGTCCATTGTTCAAAACCTCAAAACATAATTCATGACTACACATTTAGAATTAACTGACCATATTTGGAATAAATTTCTCCGATGCAATTACAAAGTTGAGCCACCTCGCTCAGGTTACATTTGGCTTCTGCGCGCCGTTTGTCCCTGATGTATTCTGAAATGTATAAGAACATAACAGGTTAATTTATGGTGCAACTTCTGAATAAGATCAAAAATCCATTATTTTATCAGTTTATTAAAGGAATTTGCTTAGCAAGTGCAAAGCTTAGTTTTTGGGACAGCAGTCTGAAATCAACCATAAGAAGTCATAAGACAGTGGTCTGGTTTCCTGGGTCCACATTCGGGATTCATAAATCAGCAGTCTGGGTTCCAGTTCCTGAGCCAGAAGTAATGGTATGTAGGACAGTGATCTGGTTTTCTGGGCCAGCAGTCATGGTAGACAGGACAGTGATCTGACAGCAGACAAGCTATAGTAAAGGACAGTGGTCTGGTTTCTTGGGTCAGCAGTCAGGGTACATAGACAGGACAGTGATTTGGTTTCCCGGGTCAGCAGTCAGGGTACATACACAGGACAGTGATCTGGTTTGATTTCCTGGGCCACCAGTTATAAAAGTAAGGGTAAATAATATGATTGTCGCATTTCCTGAATTAAAGGTCTGGATTCATGGGATGTTTTTTAAGCAAGCTTTAGCAGTAAAAATACTTAAGCATCAAGGCAGGCTGCAGGCAAATTTTTTGTTTCCCTGACAGAGCCGTGTTTCTGGAATAAAAATGACGAATGAATGCAAGAAAGGCAGACACTCACAGATTTGAAATATGACGATGTGATGAACAATTAAAAATCAAAATCAGTTTAATCAGGGGTAATGAAAAAAAAGTTACTATTTCTAATATTACTATTGTATTTTAATGCACTGACTATCAATATCACTGCCGAGCTGAAACATAAATTTAAAATTTCATTAGTAATTCAACAAAGATTTAAAAAATGTATATTGAGTTGAAAAAGTAAAAGTAGTAAATCATTTAAAATTTTAAAAATAATAATCTCATCTGTTCGTCAGTGACAGTCGTACTTTTAGAATTAACTATTCAAAATGTAAACTCTTACTTTCAAGATCTTTTACGTCTTCTGGGTCCATTTCAATGGGAGGAAAAGACACTACAACAAGAAGTGAGCGGATCAGCTGTGTTAATTATATCACATCCATGTCAAGTCAGACGTTCAGAGTTTCCAGCGATTGTTTTGTTTTGTGCGCGAAATCCTGTGTTATTTGGAGTAGTCTGCTCTTTAGCGGGCAAAACGTCTTTAAATTATTTCGTATTTCTAGTATTTTGTTCACAGAAAATTGAAATATTTTAGTCACTTGAAACGTCACGAAAGTTTAGAGAGAACAATAATGGAGGGGTATAATGACTGGGAAGAGAGGAAGGCCAAAGAGAAGATTAATGCAGGATGTGGCGGATGATCTCCAGAGGGTGTATCGGACCCGAGACATCTTACTTGTGATCGAGAAGTTTTCTGGAGAGTTATTATGGGAGCTGATTCCTCTCAATAGTCCATCCTTATCGGATCCACTCCTAATTCTTACACATGTTATTTCATCCTACCTCGTGTCTTCTATCAATATTCATTCATCTGTGGTTTTCATAACGTCTGCCTTGTCCAGTATGAGTGTTCCAGTAGCTATCGCTTTCGTTAGCCAGAAAATCTGCTATTTCATTCCCTCGCACTCCTGTACATTACAGACAGTATATCCATGTGATTCTCTGAAATATTGATGCTTGGTATCCACTCATGCTGCATTTGTCCATTCTGAACCTTCCGAGGTACGGACTGAGAATCAGAAACAATAATTCCTCAAGTAAATTTTTTTTTCCGCAATCCACGTGAGAGCTGCGGCGATTGCTTTCACTTCTATCGTCATGCTTGAAGATGTAAATAAAATTTAAAAAATAAAGCTCAAGTTGGTTCAGTTACTATCTTACCCTTCCTGTTGGCCGAAAATCCCCAGCCAGAGCTTACACCCCGATGAACAGAACCATCAGTGACTGACTGACTGACTTTGTACCCCACCAGAACATCACATAAGCGATAAACACCCGATGACACAATGTGCCACCATGTGGATGAGGATCACCGTGGAGAGGTCCCAGAAACCTCATTCAGCCATTCACCCATATTTATGGCCTGGCTATATTGCGGAACCTGGCAAGAGCCTGAGTAGGGCTTCAAGTAACGAAAAATGTCATCCTAAAAAGGAAGGAAAGTGATTTTGTTGACCAATATAGAACATCGGTGTACACTATTGCATTAACTAACCCAGCGTTTTCATCTATCAGTTGTACTTCAAATTGTGCCATACCGTTACACTACTCTCCGTATTCTCTTCCTAGTGTGATAATGAACTGATGGAAACTGCTGTTGTGGGTGTTCGTGTCGACCCATTCCTGCCCCCTTGTGTATTTGCTGGACTGAGTCCGCTGTCCCGATTGTATCTTCAGATAGTACCATCCATTACTTTCCTCTCTTCAACCAGTCTCCACCTAGATCTGTCAGACTGCCATACAGTGGATTCCTTTCATCATCGGTAACTCGCATATAAGCCTTGGCTTGCGCCAGTGACAGACTAGACTTTTCCTATGTCAGTCCCAGCAATTACCTTATAGTTAAAATTATAGGGAGATTGGAAGAAAATATGAGAAACTACAACTATAAGAATACTTGGTTATGTTGGTCTCGAGGCACGGCGTCCGCCTCGAGTGCTGGAGGTCCCGGTGACGGCCGGGATTTTTTCTCGTGGACTTCTAGTAATTTCCCCTGGTCTCTGGGTAGTAAGATCGGACGCCCTTGTGTATTTTTGCGCACGTAAAAAAAATCAATTGGCAGTTGTAAATCGAAAAGAGTAGCCTAATGACTCTGCCCGGGCAAAATATGGAGTTAAATATCTACCCAAAGTATTTCAGGATCCTCACCGGTGCAACGAAGTTCGTGCACTACGCGGAGATTCTTCGGATTCAAGCTTGAGTTAGAAGTAGAACGGAGCACTTATGGGTTACCCCTTGTGCCATGATGTTGATCAGTCGTCTAAACCTAAACTTGGTTATGCAGATAGACAATGATGGCCAAACCATTTGATCTGTTGTCTACCGATAAAGTTCAGTTATGGTTCTGTACCAACTCTCATCCTGATAGCGTCCTCTTAAGAGCGATGATATCAAGAGGAGAGTCGGCACAAAACGAATACCGAACTTTATTGGTAGGCAACACAGATCAAGAGATTTGGTCATGTAACAAGATTGGCATCAGACAGGACCCCACAGAGAGCAATGTTTTACAGATACAGCGGTGACAAGAGCCAGAGGTCGACCACTCAGGATATGGACCACATAAATATAAGAGACAATTAAAAAGTATTACATGCGGAAGCGAACAGAAAGGTTCATTCCATAAACCCCTTACATATTTGATGCGGTTGGGGGTAAGTGCACAAAACACGCTTCGCCATTATTGGGGGAGGGGGGCTCAATGTCTCTACCGCCAACTCCCCCCCCCCCCCCATTTTACTGTTTCCGCTCTTCTTATCAAGCACTCAGTGGGTGGCACATGGCGATTGTCGTTTCATGAGATTACACGGTGTCTTGAATGTCGACTGTACATTGTCTTTGGCGCACTTATGTTCTGCAGTCAACCTCTTAGATGCAACGAATATGCTGGTTGCAGGTTTTGCATTAAAACATGACACATACCATTTTTTCTTCTACTTCTCAGTGGGTTTTTCCCTAGATATTGTTCCTGCAGTCTCAGCATAAACACTTTGTCAAACTTGGCTGACAAATTACACAGCCATTAGCTTCTGCAATAAAATGTCGGTCACTTCTGTCTTTGCTAGGTTTCCTCCAGTTCAGTCATGTGGCGTTGGTCATAGTGTCTGCCTGCAGCCAATCGTTTCTGGTAGGGATGTTCTTTCACGTCGTGAGGCTAACTTGTCAGACGTATAATGTCAGACTTGCCAAACATCTGTCACACCTTCCAAACGTCTGTCAAACTTGCCAAACATCTATGTAAAACCTAAGTCAAACCTGCTAAACATATGAGTCAAACTTGCCAAACATCTAAGTAAAACATGCCAAACATCTAAGTCAAACTTGCCAAACATCTAAATCAAACTTGCCAAACATATAAGTTGAACTTGCCGAACATCTAAGTCAAACTTTCCAAACGTCTGTCAAACTTGCCAAACATCTAAGCCAAACTTGCCAAACGTCTGTCACACTTGCCAAACATCTGAGTCAAACTTGCCAAACATCTAAGTCAAACTTGCCAAACGTCTAGCGTATACTTCTATTCTCACGCCCATTTTCCTTTGTAGCTTTCTTGTTTTAATGACGCATTACAATTTTGCCTTTCTCAAACCGTGTCCACAGAATGGGTTTTCCCTAGCGATTATTCTAAGAGTACCGCTTGTATCACTGTCTTAAACTCTTACTTTTTGGACAGTTCCGCAAGTCTGCTGAATGACTCAGAAGCAAGGTGTGTAGGAATTCACTGCAGAATAGCTGACTCTAGATTAGATTATATTCCAGCGTTTATAATTAAGACTTAGATGTTGTAAACATTTTTTTAAAATTATTATTATTATTATTATTATTATTATTATTATTATTATTATTATTAACTATGAAATGAGGTACGAATGAATATCTGTATGCAAGGAGAGGAGAGAAAGGGCAGAATGTTAGACGGGCCTGCGTGCCGAATTCTTAACTCTGTGAAGAAAAAATTTGCGTTCGTTCATTCGTTCGTTCGTTCACACTCCACTTTCTCTAAATGATAAGAAGCACTTCGTAGATAAATGTGTATCGATTTATCTCAGGTTTTGATTTTACATTCACTAGTATATAGTACTAGAGGAATTTTGAATTTTGAATTAGGAATCGACTTCATAGCACTCGGGACACTCCTATAGGCTCCCCGTCCACATCTTCAGCAGCAAACGAAGAATTCCATTTCCAGTGGTACCAGTAACTGTCTGATAGCACATCCGCCTCACCTTTCCCTTGAGTGCTAAGCGTCGGACAGATCCCTTGATAACACCCTGCAGCACCATTCACCCCAGACCGTAATGATCTGTTTGTATTTCCCCACTATTCACCCGCTCCCAAAGGGCCATAACAACATCTAGCTTGTTATACATCACTTCAGTAGCAA